GGCTGCAGCAGCGGGGGCGGCCGGGTTCCGGGGGCTGCGGTGCCCGCGGCCACGGCTTCTAGTCGCCCTACCCGGGTCTGCGCGGTGGCCCCTCCAGGCGCGGTTACGCAAGCCTCTGGGCACTTTTTCTCAACAGGCTCGCGCTCTCCACAACTCCGTCCGGGGCACTCGTGGACGTGGCTCAGGTGGGAGGTCGCACGGGCAGGTTGGACGGGTGGGCAGATAATCCATCATCTTATGTAACCGCGTAGGGAGAAGACTAATTGTGTAGGAGGCTGGCGTGCCTGCCTTTGCTCTGATGTGTGTGGGGTCCATTCGGATCCGCATCCTGCTCTGGAAGTCACCGGGAAGCGCTCTGGTCCCCTGTGTGCCTTCTTTACCCGTTAACGTGCCCCGGGGCTTGTGCTTCACCAGCATCCATTTCCTCCGTTTTGCTCCCCCCCCCCCNCCAGCAGCCCCGGCGGGAGCTCAGGCCCGGGCTCGGTGGCTCAGGCCCGCTGCAGCCCGGACGCCTTTTCGCAGGAGAGGTTTGCCCGGGGCGTCCTCCGCGGCCCTCGGACAAAGCTGCGCTTTATTTCGAAACTGTGTCTGAAGGTTAGGTGTAGGCTGGAGGCTCCTGGTTGGTATTTACCCGGCAGTTGCCGGCTCGCGGCAGCTACATGGGCTGCGGCGCCTGGCAGCGCAACAGTTTCTAATTGTATCCGACAACTATGGCTTCTCAGCCCGGCCTGCGAGGCCCGCTGGCTCCCGGCTCTGGACGGGGAGGGAGGCTTCGGGTGGCCCTCGGCCTGCAGGGGCCCGGCGGAGGCTCTGGAGTTGCAGCGAGGTCCCCCGGAGGAGTCCAGAAGCCCGGCGGGGCGAGGAGGCCAGTTCTGGAGCCAGGTCCGCGCTGCTGGTCGCCAGGAGCCCCTCGGCGGGGAAGCAGCCGGGAAGGAGCAGCGTGGGGGGGTTGGTGTGTAGCCTCTGCTACATGTTTCTGGTCCTGCTGCTCAGGGGCGGAGGTTCACTCAGTTACTCCTGTTCCCTTAGGAGGTGCTGCTCATTGCAGGGGGAGGGCAGTGCCGCGGAGCATCCCCCCCCCAGTTTCCTTACTTCTGCCTTGAAACCATTAAATAGGGAAGAACTTCTGTGGCGAGGGTGACGGGGGGCACACGGCAGGGCTTTGCATTGGGGTGTCCCCAGCGTCGGCCTTAGTGAAAGGTGCGCCTGGGCAGGTGGGCGGGCAGGCAGCCGGTCAGCAGCCGTGATTGCCGGGCTGTGACTTGCCTGGAGTCTGAGGTGAACTCTGCCAGGACAGCGGGCAACAGAAGCCGTCAGGTGGAGCGTTCAGGGGCGCGGAGCCCTCCGGGAGCGGGCTGGAGGGCTTGGGGCGCACAGTCACCAGGCGCATCAGAGCTCGGTGGGTCAGTCGACGGGCGAGCCCCTGGGCGGGCCGGTCCGTGCAGCGGGCTCCCCGCCGGTCTCCCGGTGCGCCCGTCTCCCAGTGCGCCCGTCCCTTCTGGTTTCGTCCCTGGTGACTGCGAGGTTCCTCCGCAGAGCCCGTACAGGTTGGGCGGCTTTGGCAGAAACCAGCCCACACGAAGGCACGGTCAGGACACAGCCGGAGCCACGTGCGTGCGGCCCTGGGCAGGTCGGGCGGGTCCTGCGTCCCCTCGGGCATGGAGTCGGTGGCTTGTGGAAGAGCGGCTGGGATGCGGCCCCACTCAGTGTCACCTCGAGCTGCGGCCCGGCCCTCTGTTTGCTTTGGCCCTGGCATCCCCTCGGTTGCAGTTCTGACCTGTGTTTGCCTTGGCACAGGAGGGTGCGGCGGGCGCTCGTCCTTGGCCGCGCTGATTAAAACACGAGGGTAGAGCGTGCAGCTTGATTCCTCTCCCGGGAGCAGCTGTGGCGCAGACGTTGCTCTCTTTCCCTGTGGCCCAGTTCCCGTGGGACCCGTGTCCTCGGGGGATTTCGTGGCGGGTGAAGGGGAAAGGAGCAGAAAGCCTTCCCCTGAGAACTGGTCCTCAGACCCCCGGGCATGGGCTGCAGGCAGCAGGCACACCTGGCTGTCGGGCAGCCTGGGTAATTGCCTAGGCGAGGGAAAGGGGGGGCATTTACTGCTCAGAATGAAGCCCACACTGCAGCCCTCTTGGGGGAGACCCTGGACGCCCCGCATGCGGGAGAGGGGCTTCCCAGCAGCTGATCTTGACCCTAGAGGTTCTGGAAAGTGACTGCTAGGTTGATGTTTTTCTCTCGGTCTGTGTCCCAGGAAAAGCCCTGGCTCCCAAGCGACCTGATGACCTCTGAGGGTGGCCGCTCGGGAGCGTTCTCTAGGAATATAGCCCGTGTGGGAGCTGGGGGGCAACCTGAGGAGAAGAGGGCCCTACGAAAGCCTCGGGTGTTCACGGTGTCATGGCCCTTGGGCCTGGGTCAGCAGGGCCAGGCTGGTCACCAGAGGTTGTCCTCACTCTGCAGGTTTGTGGGAAAGCCGGCCTGGCCATGGTGTGGCCCCTGGTGAAGTGGTGGGGCCAGTGGGCTTCTGCGCCCAGAGGGAGTCAGGCTCGCCACCTCCAGTAGGGCTGGTGCAAGGTAGGCGTTGGCTGCTGGCAGGAGGCAGCCCACCGGGGCAGGTGAGAGGCCCCTGCTGGCTTTTCGATCGAGGCCTGGCTGGCCATCCCCGGCCCACTATCTGCCACACCACCCACTCTCCCAGGTGGCCACTGGGCAGCGGTGGGAAGCATAGGGCCTCCAAGCCCTCTGCTGCTGACCTCAGACCCCCTTCACCCTCGCCCACGCCTGGGCAGTCATGGCAAACTATTGACAAGCCATCAGAAGCGGGCGTTGGGAGCGGACAGAGCTCAGCAGGCTGCCAGTGG